ACTCGATAATTGAAAGTTCATTTTCACTCGTTTTATTATTTTGATCGTTTTTAATCGTTTTAAAGTTCATGTGATATTATTATTTAGTAATATTTCACAATTTTACTAAAAAAAAAATCTGGTCAAAAATGGACGAAACAGAATTTTATGGTTAAATTTATGTATTAGAATTCCAGTTGAGATAATCGGATACAATATTTTTGTAAAATCTACTAAAATTCTTATTTTCATCAGAATTATATCAATCAGAATTCTAGTTCTCTCAACTAGAATTCTAGTAAATTTAACTAGAAAATTCTGATTCGTTCATTTTCCATCAGAATTACTATTTAATCCAACAAGACCATTCTTCACAGTGCATAATTCATCAAAAAATTGTTCATATATTCTAGATGCGGGACATTTATATTTCATAAATTTTTATCTTTATTTTCAAGAAAATTACTGTTAAAAACTGAAAAATTAGTAATATATTTTTTTCCCTTTTAAACGTACATGATCCTCCCTGTCACAAAATTATAGTGAAGCTTGTTGGAAATAACGGGAAATAAAAATAGTCGTGAAATCCTCAATTATTTCTCTTTAATACAAATTTTCATAAAGTTAGAGAAAAATTTTCATAATTGATAGGCGTACGCGTCTATTTTTCTTTTCTCCCCTCACGCGGATAATTTGACAGGAAAGCAGCGCGTAGCGGTTCGACTGGAAACATCGAGGCAAAATTTTATACGTTGCATACTGCCTGAGCAAGTCAGCGCGTCCAGACATTCTTTATTAAAGGCCACACCGATCCAGAAGGCTTCAAGACCTTTCGCGTGATGAATGTAAGGTTGAACTCTTGTAACCTAACCCGTCTCGACCTAGCCTGCCTACCTTTACCTAAAGGACGTACCTTTAACTCTGTTTAACTTCCACCTGAATTAGCTTTCATCTACCTTGCGGGTCGTTCCACACATTGTTCTCCGCAATCTAACTCGACGTCGTTTACATTTCGCAGCGGCCCGTGCTAATGTTTAAACTCTTCACCGTTCACCGCGGATCACTTTGCTCGGTAAAACATCTATTACCTATAAAAATTTCCCGCTTGAGGCATGCATTGTTATATGCCACGCGTTGAAACGAAATTCTGTGAGAATTATGAGTCTTTAATTCCTTTCTGACCCATTGAAAACAATTTCTGCTTGCAAACAAACGAATCAGAAGATTCTGGTCACATGTCAATCAAAATTCTGGATACGTCAACTAGAATTACATGATAGATTTAATCAGAAAATTCTAATCTGTTTATTTTTAACCAGAATTCCAATTAATGCAACCATACTCTTGTTTTCAGTGTGACATTGAACAATATTTCTCTTTTAGTAATAAGGCAATAATTTTACCAATATAATTACGCATTTGATTTTGTTTCTTACGTATATATATATATATATATTCGTTAATTAAAATTCCGATAAAAAGTGGAACGTTTCTTTGGATTAGATTAAAGAATAGGGGGAAATATTAAAGAATGAGAATTTTTTAGTAGCCTGTACCTGAAGAAATAGGTCGTTGCCGCATTCTTACTGAGAAAGTATTTTTAAATCAGTCAAAGGATACGAACGTAAAACCAGATGCAAAAACATTTCAAAAAACTTTATAATGTATGTAGATCTCCTGCAATTAATTACGTAAAGTAATGCACCGTCAGTGCACACGAAGAAGTGTCTTACGCTGAAAACACTCTGCTTCCATCGATCGAATTTGACATCGCGTGCAGAAAACAATTTGAGGAAAAAAAAAAAGAAACGAAGTAGGATGTCCAACGATCGACTCCAGTCGCAGGCCTTCGTACCAGTAAAGCCCGAGCTTGTCTGCGCAATAAGGATCCAAAGCATTACGGACAACCTAGGTCGGTCCCGTCCCTTCTCACCCTCAGACGGAATGTTTTGCATTTTAAGAAGGTGTCGGATATCCTTTGCGTTATCCGAAGACAGGCCTTCCCTGTTGCCTCGCGCTTGTCGCGTAGCGAGGGCAGGGGGAAAGAAGGGAAAAAGGTGGAGGGAGACACGAGAGGCAGAGAAGAGCGATCCCTCCCTTGAAATCCGTAGTAATTCACGGTCCTGTATTACGTGGCAAAAAGAACACCCCTCTCCCCTTCGGCGAGACGACCGATGCTAGCAGGGTCGCTTTACAGTGAACGAACGAAGAATTCGCGCGAGCGTGTTAGCAGAAGCGTCCGATGTTAGGTACATTTAATGATATTTATTTTAGGTACGCGTTCCCTTCGTTGTTACAAATTACAATCGCAGTAAATTTCTATTCTCGAAAATTTCTCGATTTTAATGTTGACAGAGTAAAAGTGGATTTTTCTTTCTTTTTGTTATTTTGTGCATTATAAGGAAAAAATATCATGGAAACCTTATCTAATTATTACTTTTATTTATAACGTTAAAAATTTTTGAATAAAAAAAATGTTTATAATATTTTACGAAATATAATATCGCGGATTTTGGATTATCGTAGATATCGTGGAGATTGAAGTAATAACGTGTAGTATTACACACAAAAGAAAAGAAATATTTCTCGAAAAAATAATTTTGAAGACTTTCGACGATTCAAGATTTCGAAAATATTCGTAGAATATAAAAAAATTGTTCATCTCTGAAATATAATAATAATTTGAGATTTTCATCACATATTCGAATAAATTTATATTTTGTGTTTGTCATTAATTATAGAATACCATTTATAATAAACGGCAAAAGAGTAATATTCTACAAACACAAAAATAATAAATACGACGAAAATTTGGAAAAGTTGTGAGTGAACGAAAGAATTGAGAAATAGTCATCGGAAAAAGGATTGGTTGAACTCTCGTGTGGTCATTTTCTAGAGAACTCGAAGGACAATCGCATTTAATCGAGTCGCCGTTTACCGAGGCTCTTGCTTAAAGGAGATCCCAGATGAAACGAGAGCAAACTCGATCGTTCCGGTATCTAGGAGCTGACAAACTCTGTTTTTCTTCCTTTTCCAGGGAAACTCTTTTAAAAAAGCAGTACTTTCTCTTTACCGTAAGATATATTTCTCAAGTTGTCTTTTAATGATTTGATTTTATTAAATAATTAAAATTAGTTATTAATTTAACGGGAAGATTTACGGGTTGTGTAATTATTGTACAACAAATTACAGAAAATTGAATTTAAAGAAAAAGGTTATAAGACAGATGTTATTTCGAAAGGTTTTCTTTGAGAAAAATTATGACCGTGCAAAAAAGTATTCTATAATATAAATCAAGAAATGGATGTATATAAGAAAAAATAAACAGAGATTTTAAAACGCATTTATAATTAAACTACGTAATTTCGTAAGTTTAAGGGAAAAATTTACCTGTCCATCATATGCACAAAAGTCTTTCGTTTTATAAAATAAAGTTTCTACCATTTTTGACATGAGTACGAAGAGAGGAGAACAGTTAATTCTTTGTGGAATTTGTAAAGTTAGCTTCTCCGTCCCTGACACTCAACGAATAACCAATATTATTTAAATGCTGAAATCATTTCCGTGATTTTGAACGTCTCTTTTCATCGTATGCTTCTGCTCAGATTTTTCACGCATGATTTCAAATCGACACCTTCTACTTCTTGATCTCTATCCCGGGAATAACGCGTTTGAACAAAAATTCAAATTCAATTCCGTTATTCTCTACATTCGAGAACCGTAGTTGCTTGCTTCCGTTTATATTTTTATTTGTGCAACCGCCAATCATTGACATCTGACTTGTTTTACATGATATTTTTCTCGTGAACATTACGACACTTTGCGAAGGAGGATGGGTTAGGTATATTCTTAGAAGGTTTAAGTTAAATTGAAGCGCTCTTACCTCGAGGAAATGCTATCACCAGCGTCGACAACAACGGCAGGAGCTGTTCATCGAAATGGGATTACTTTTTTATTAAAGGACCGCGTGATACGCATTTAAGATTCACGGCATATAGCAAAAATTAAGTTCTTTCCATGTTATGTTTATATAAAACTTTAAAAAATACTTCTCTCCCTCTCTCACTCTTTCAACTCACATGAAAACACCTGCATAGTTGTATTCTCGTGCTCATTTTTTACATATGTAAACAATTTTTATTTTTTAAATTATATTTAAAAACATTGAAAACATTTTATTGCAATCTTTTTGACGTGTTAACTAAAATTTTAAAACACATTTTCTATATTTTAATATTTAATATATGCATATTTTAACGTTTTATATGATTAAATTATTATTGAATGTTATTTCTTCTTAATAATTATTTATTAAAACAATAATGGAGAAATAGAAATTGAAGCTCTTTAATATAAAATTTTTATAAGAGAAGAAGAGTAATACAAACAACCATTGCCAAAAGGCAATATTGGGGCATAAACATTTGTATCAAAATGTATATTATGTATATAATTATTTGTGTAATACTTTATCGATTTCGCTTCTATAATAATCGGAGAGATAATAGTAAATCGCAAGAAAGATGGAACATTTTAACACAAATATTTTTCTATCAACGTTTATATTCTGACGCCTTTTTCTCGTATGATCGAACAGATCGTTAGCGGACTGATAGTTAAGGCCACGTGCCACAATGTGTTTTGCTTTCTTTATTGGCTTTGTCTATATCATACAATCTCACCAATACCAATATTTAAGTAATAATGCTATTAAAATTCATGTAATTGGAAAATTCTTTTTATACTGACAATGAGAGACAATCGCTGCTAACTCCGATTTGAGGATATAGCAGAATTTGATTCGAGATCTGTATACTTTGAGAAGTAAATTCGTTCGATTATATTCCCAAAAACTGAGTTTTCGAAAAAATTAATCTCAAGTCATTCCTTTGCAGTGCGCTCGCAACCAAACCGGTGAGCGAGATTTATAGACGTGTGGAAGGGATATCGATCGTAGGCCCATCGTGTATTGTTAGTAATTGGAACATTTATGAGCCAATCAATCACTTCTGCTGTTGCAGTCCCCCCTATGCTGTGGATACCGCACCAATTGGTTGGCGCACCCTTGGGTTACTCCGTTATTCTGGAATGCTATACCGAGGCTCATCCGACTTCTTTGAATTACTGGGCGAGGGAGGACAACTTAATGATTCACGAGAGCAGTAAATACAAGACTGTGTCGTTACCCGATAAGCCATCTTACAAGACGCATATGATGCTCACGATAAACGATATACAGGTAAGTGGCATTTATCTTATCGATAATCAACAATTCCGTTTGGTTTTCAAATAGCCCATTCAAAAATTCTCAAATTCCTCATATTTTCAATCGTGTAAAAACGATTCACGAAGAAAGGAAAAAAACAAATTTTTCTTTAATTGAACGAGACTTTATCATTAACGGTATAAATGGTATAAAAATAGGTACCTTTACTTTTTTCAATACGTTACATGAAAATTAAGCGCTGTTTTTCCTGCATATTTAATGAATTAGAATTGCACGATAAAATGTAACATAATTGCTGTTAAAAAAAAAAAACGCGTGGCTTAATCATGTACACCGCGTTAAAATTCACGATTGGGTAATAGCACCATATCGTAAATCACGATTGCACACTGGCGATGAACGCGACAGACGATGAGAGTAATAAAGCACTCGTCTAGAGTATCTGCGTATACAAAATAAAAATGCATAATGTACGGCGTTATATACGGCATTATGTATGGTTACATAGATACACCACGATAATTTATCATTATTCAATAATAACGATATTAATATTTTAGAAGAATAGTTTTAATAGTCGTTTATTTAATATTAAAAAGTCAAAATCTCGAGTCAAAAAATTCAGAAAAATTCATAATTTTTTGCAATAATTCTTTTTTTTTATATATTTTGTGCGTGTAACACATTTCAAATTTTGCCTGAAGAATAATAAGGATCTCTGAACTGTCCGAGTACATAATTGATTATTTATTTATTTATTACGCATTGATAAAGAATTACAAAATGAATAATAATTACTATAGTAATAGATGAGAAAACAAATGAACGAATACGCAAAATGAGACACCAACAGAAACTTGCTACTTTAACGTCTACCAGAAAAGAAAGTGAGCACTAAATTACGATTATAAAAGCAATGAGAACGAAACAAGAGCGATTTGTGATTAGATTGTTAATGCTTTCTTCTTAATTAAGGGTAAAGAAATGCTTCGCATGAAGAAAATGATTCTATTTACTATTAATTATAAAAGAGTAAATTTAACAAAATTTATAATTATACGAAATATGATAAAGCGTTTCGTTTTAAAGTTTAAATTAGTAATTAACAAGAAATACTTTTATTGTATTTACTTCATTAAAATTTCTATGCATTTTAGAGAATAATTTGCTCGCGTCGGTTTACTTTCAGAGAGAAGACTACGGTAGCTACAAGTGTATCGCCAAGAACCCACGTGGAGAAACCGACGGGACGATTCGTCTGTACAGTAAGTGTCTCGTTTTGCCTGCATGCGCCCCGAGCCATCCCTTCAGTACCGTTTACCAAGGTAATGACGGTTCGTCGCGAGCTGTTTGGCGCGTTTATGTCGTGCTGTCATTCCCCGGTTGTTTACGAAGTCGACGAAGACGGTCGGTTCTCAACGAACTACGTAATTTCTACAGCACACCCGTTGACGGATACCGTGGTTTCTTCGGGCAACGTGCGTTCAGTATATGGTTTGACACGGTTAAACTCCACGGCGAACGCGCGCGCGTCACGCGATCTTCCTGCTAGACAAATATACCGACGTTAATTACCTCTGCCTAATATTTGCCAACAGATCGCGATTCGCAGTGGCACTTTCCTCGAATTAAATCGCAACATTAGTTGGCTACAGTTTAACGCGGCTGTGTAAATACAAAAAACAGTTCTATGTACTACCGTTTAGAGTTTACCCTTGACTGGGTCTCAATATTCCTACATTTTTTTTCATATGACGCGCGTACTTTTTTCTCATTTTTCTTTTTTTCTTTTTTTCTTCGATTCGTTAGTCCTCGCGTACGTTATACGTTACCTTCGTCGTGCGCGAGGTGAAGGGAATAAAATGCATACAATCAAGGATTTCATCTGCGGCTTACAGCTATGATAAAATTGGAGGTATGGATGAAATATGGGGACGCGCGTATGTATCTCATGAAAAAGAGTATGAATCGGGACATGTAGAATCGAGCAAATAGAATCGATGGCGCTTACGAAAACGAATGCGGGATCACTCCATTAGTATGGATCGGTTTTTCGCATTAGCAATATTCAAATGAAGCGAACATTTAGCATAAAAGACTACCGATAAGAGAGAAGGTGGTGAAATGTAAACCTCCCTAGTTCGATGGAAAATAAAGGGTGAAAACGATTATTTGATATATGTGGGATGTTTGATATATATTCTGTTTTTTTTTTGCCGTCAGTCTCAGTACGAATCTCTGCAAATTAATAAATTAACAAATTAAAATTTTCTTGAATATTTGAATTACTTAAACGTAAAAATAGTTACGCGAGAAATAGATATTTTTAAAAACAAAACTTGCGTTATATACGCTTTCTATAAAATAGATATTTCTTAATTAATTACACACCTAAAAATATTATTCTTTTCACCGAAACAGTCTGTTTCTATTAAAATTGATATTACTTTTAAACATAGCTGTGCGAAACGAATAGTCGCAAAATTCGCGCGTGCCGTGCATACTATCCATGTTGTGGCGAAACAGATGAAAACAGACGAAATTAAAATTTTTCGAAGACTTTTTTTTAGCTTTGCAAATAAATTTTCCTTTTTTAAGATGAAAAAATTCGTTCTTTTTTCCTTGTGTTGCAACAAAATTAACTACGATATATCACAAGGGTAAATTATTGAGAAAAGCATTTTCACGGCAGAATCCTATATTCCGGTCGGATGAATCGTTGGACTATTGGCGTGGCGCTAATGCTGAATTATTGGTATCCCCGAAAGGGATGCAGGATTAACCACGTACTAAGAGTCATGTCTCGCAATCAAATGCGTTGTATATGAACATCGTTATTATTCTACTCTAAGACACGTAATTGTTGATTATTGCTACGTTTAAAGCCAGAAATACCACCTTGCATCTACGATTGCTTGCATAAACGATTTTTATGATCGACTGTATATCGATGTATGTAGCAATATGTGATAAATTTGAGGCGAAAGAAATATAAAGTATCCCCGATAAAAAAAATATAAAAAATCTTGAAATATTTAATAAATTGATCTTGAAATTTTATATTATTATATAAATTACTCTTTTAACAAAAATTAACATTCTTATCTTGTACGGAGGGACACAAATAACAAATAAGGAGAGATGCGCCCTTTTTCCGTCCATTTAAAATTGTCGATTTAGAATCGACTGTGACCATCCCATTGTTCCGTCTACGAGCGGGAGAATGAGAATACGAGGAAAAAGTCAGACCAGAAAGGAATTCGAATTTCTCAGAGCTTCTCCAAAGAGGAAGCGGAGAAATAACTTCGAAAAGGTCCCACGAAGGCTTCGTGGAGATGCACGACGGTCCAGGGGAGAGAAGCAAACAAACCTACTTCGGTACAGTCAGTAACAACCGGCAGAAGTAACGGAGCCCTTCCTTGAAGAAGGTCGAGCCGGCTCGAAATTAAGTAGCGGCAGTTAGAGATATGTCAGACGAGTTTTATTAAGCGACATAAAAAAAGAGATTTGTAGACTGACTGAAGGAAACGAGTAGGAGAGCAAGAGGATAGGAGGGTAAGAGGGATACCTTACTTCGTGGGGTAAGTCGTCCCGCGAAGCGAAGACGATTCCTTGGTTGCGGAACTCGTCTACAGCGGCAGTAAAGAATAGGGGAAACAGACAAGGGACCGAGATATGAATTTATTATTAAGAACCGCCTAAGGGGCAAAGTACCCCTGTTTCTTGATATCCGAGCGCATTTTGTGCTTGCGTCTTACCTCGTCTTTACCCCCTTGAGGCCCCTTTTTTTCCATCGCGACAGAGAGAGACCCGTTCTCCTCTTTTCTGCCCTACTTGAAAAAGCTCAAATTTCCTGGCTAATTTATTCCGCGGTCGAGTCAAACTGCTATTTGCGGCGGCATTGAAGCGTGGGCTCGGCACGCAAAATGATAGATAGAATGAGGAGCAAAACTTACGGCGTTCGCTTGGATAGTAACAATATCGTATTCATTCGACTCCTCCTTTATCTCCCTCTACCGCATACTCTTCCCTTGTGATTTCCTTAGCCCGAGCGCCGTATACATAATGCAACGTCCACCCCTACCGCATCCGCCAGTTCAACCGCTCTGTGTCGCTGCTAAGACGCGGATTTAATAAACGGCCGTTACGCGGCTGCTTTGTCGACGTCCATAATGTCATTTTTTATTCCCCTTAATTCGGACATGCTTGCTTATGCATGGGACATTATCCCTTAACATGGGATCCGTCAAGAAAAGGGTGTAACACTAAATTAGTGCAAATAACGTAACACTTAAATAGATAACATCGCGACATTTTTTTGAGTCAGTTGACAATTATTGCCTTTTATTATTCAACGATATCGCTGTCTTATTTTAGAAGTAATATAATTTAAAAATGATGTTTCTCAGAAAAGAGAAGACACTGTTTTTCAACTTGATAGAAAATTGATGAATCAAATTAACAAAAAATATGTATTCTTAACCAGAGATGTATCCAAGATTTTTTCGAGGGAAATTATATTTGTCGTTTTCGTTTCACACAAGTCTTAAAAAAATTTTTCGAATTGTAACTATTTTTACGGAGTTAGAATTATCTTTGATTATTGATGACATAAAGTTTACTTAATTTATTTATAGTAAGGTGAATGTCCCGATTTCTACTCAAGTTCCTATTTCTACTCACTATGAATATGTCTTATTAATATAAATATTCTATTGATAGAATATAAATTGCAGGAAGGTTAATTTCAAATTATTTATAATATAAATAACCTATCAATAGAATATTCAATAGAATCTAATATAAATAACCTATCAATAGAATATTTGTATTAATAAGACGTGTTCATAGTGAGTAGAAATAGGAACTCGAGTAGAAATCGGAACATTCCTTATAATATCTCGAAAATTATATTTTTTTAATTATTCTATTTCTTAAATAAGGAAAGGAAACTATATATTAAATAATAAGTTACTTTTCTCTTCATATGATCTTAAAATATGTTGCAACATTATAGTGTGTTTATCACTTTGTCATAATTATTTGATTGTTTCTAACAAATGGCAATTATTAGTTAATTATAATCATTGTGCATATATTATATATATATATATAGAAATCGATTTTATCATTATTTTATCACTTTATCATTTTATTTGACGAAGTATATCGTTTTAACGATTGATGTATACATTCCAAAAATTGCATTTTTACACTTAACAAATCTTGATACCGTAAAACATTCTCGAAAGACAATTATAATGCGACTGGCGACAGTAAAAATCCCTTAACGCTTAACAAGCTCTTGATGAAATTCTTGCAAACGGAAAACTTCTCGTTGTACTCAAATTCCTTCTGCAAATCCATACTGAGTTGTCGGACTTTGAAAACTTTCGCGGTCGCGTGGTATCGTGGCTCGCAAAGTTCTACGAGCTTTTCATTTGGATTTGAGAATTTCACTAACGAATTCTTCAGCGTAAGATGCAAACGAAGTCGTGGCCCAGCGTGACTTTGATAAATTTGTTGTGAAACTCTTTCTGCACATGCATTCCGGACGCTGCTAACGCAGCGGCACTTAGCAATTTTGCCGTCGGAGTTGCACCGAGGAACGAATTTCACCGAAAATCTCGTTTAGATTTTGAAACGTTGCCGGCAAGCATTTTCTCGCTGATATTCACGCAGATAGTATCTCCATGAGAAGTTATATTCTTAACTTATCCGAGGGGTGTCCTCCGAAGAAATATTCATTTCTAGATTTTCAGCTATATTGATATTTCTATTTCTTGAACAATTTTGGAATATCTCTCTCTTTCTCTCTCATGAATGTATCATAAATTGCATCTCGTAAGAACATAACTGTCTTATAATTGTCTTATAATTGTCAATCATGCAATTACTATGACATTATTGCAATTAAACGTTTTTGGAGGCTTTCAATGAAACATACATAGTATTCAAACTATTGTTATTCATGTATATGTATATTTTTATAACAAATCCATAAAAACAGTTAAAAGAACAATAAAATTTAAAACTTTTTATAAAACAATTTTTTAATAATCATGATGTTACATGCTCGCACTCTCATAAAAAATGACTCAATAAAAAATATAATATTGTTATAGGAAAGAAAAAAATTGCATATTTTTAAATTGAATACCTATTTATTACAACAATATTAAACACAAGTTAACTGAGAGCTAATCTTGCTTGTTTTAAGCTTTTTGGAGTAAATAATGTTGATATTAATTTGTATATTATAATA